GGAAACTGATACCATGTTAGAAGAGAGAGAGGGATTTGGTGAATTGTTGTTGTATTGCTTGAGCCTCGTGGGCATATATATAGGAGTACATGATCATCTTGAAGTACAAGGCAAGGTAGAATAATATCCTACGTTATCCTAACTTTTCTAATAATCACGATACTCAACAAAAAGGGTCCGTTCACCCCTCATTTTGTGTCTGATGCAACCCAAAAGCTACATACTAAACTAACCTACTACTACTCGCCATCGGATATGTAGACAACCTCCGTGCCGGTAGTGCCGAATGAACCTGCCTCCTCGTCGTTTGCCGCCTCCTGCAGCTTCGGCTCCTCATCGGGCTCCATGTCCGCGAAGAGTTCGCCGACCTCCGCCCGTGTCTCCCAGAGGTAGCGACGGTTTGCCTTCACCTCCGCTTCTGAGTGGATGGAGTCAAGGATGGCATGTTGCTCCTCCGCCTTTGTCGCTTGGGCGACCTTGAACTCCCTTGTGTGTTGCCCTTGCCAAATTCGGTAGCCGGAGGCGCTGGATCCATCTTGCCTTCCTCCTACCCCTCCTGCCCCGGAGAGTCTGACGACATGCCCCTTATCACACACGGTCTTATCAAAATCGTGCCTGACATATGGGCCGTCACACACATTTCATTTTCCGGCACACGAGTTTATTTTTTTACCGGTTGCGCTGCCCGCATCACATATAGTTCGGTCGAATGGTGTGCGATAGATGTGTCGTCTTAGGCCCAACCTGCAGTAGTGGTTTTCCGCCTGCCGGTGCAAATCCTTGGCCCACTGGCGCTTGGATATTGTGCGGTTGTCATCGACGGTGTCCAGGTGGACCAGGTCTGTGAGTAGGTTCTTGTAATAGCTAGTTGGCGCCCTATTGTTTGTCGCCTGCTTCATCTTGGCCTTGGGCACCTCTTCGTCCTGGAAGAGCTCGTTCTAGCAATCGCCCAGGTATTCTTGATTCTCCTAGAGTCGTTGCTTTTTTGGTAGTTATTTTGTTGGTCGTACGTATCAACCTCAGCCTCAACGCGTCATGGTTGGGGTTGTAAAGCGATTCGTTCAGGATGTCACTGCCATCGAGACCGAGGTTGTTGTCAGGGTTGTCGACGTTGTCGTCGGGATTGGCATTATGTGATAGCCTGGTTTAATAGAGATTATAGACTCGTATAAATAAGAAATTCCTTCTTTGGAGCTCATTCGAAAAGAACTCCCAAGTTAAGCGTGCTCAGCTTGAAGTAATTTCAGGATGGGTGACAGATCGAAAAGTTGGTCTCGGGTGCGCATGAGTGAGGACAAAGTGCACAGGAAAGACTAGTGTTGATCTGTGGGGCCAGTCTAGATATCGCAGGAGTAACGACCACCGGCGGATGTGTCCGGGGCGTTACACATTATTGCCATGGTTGTTATTATGTCCGTTGTTGTTGCCGACGCCATCTGCGCTGTTATTTTAGAGTGTCTATTGTGTAAATATTGTAGGTGGAGGTTGCCGTCCGCTTGCCCGCAGGCGTGGTGGCTGTAGGTAGGCTACCCGATGACTATCCAACCTCCTTGTCCATGCCATCGACCTCGTTCGAGGCGCTTGCGAGGAGCTCGGTCAGGTCTTCCACATTAGTGAAAAGATGGGTGCTGGGCGGGGTGAAATTTCCACCTTCCTTAATGACCCCCAGATCCGATCGTAGACCGAGGTCTGGTCATCTGATATTGTGAACCTCTGAATCCAATATAACATCTCGTTCAAGAGAGATTTCTTGTGCTCCTCTTGAGCCCGATCTGACAATGGGACCAGTGGGAGCTTTCCTAAGATCCGATCTGACATGGATCTGGGTTCTTCATACTTGGCCAGTTCTGTCGTCTGGTCATTGGTGGGTGTTACCAGGGCTTGACCTAAGGCCGGGTCCGAAATAAGGCCCCCCTCTCTCATCCTAGGCGGGTCTAACATTAGGGCCGAGCGTGTGTATCTCATGTTGGTCCCCGGCCTGGTCTGACGCCCATCCTGTGAAGGCCAACTCTCCGCGAGAATCCGCAGTGCACTCCACGTTGTCGAATATGATGATTCAGCCTAGAGCAAAGGTTTCAACCTGACCTAGGTGGCTTGTCGAATCGGCGAAGAGGGCGATGCTGCTGAAGACAAAGACCTGGCTCGGCACAAAGGTCATGCCGATGTCGATCTGCTGGCCAATCTTGATAGCCATCAAATCTTGATATATAGCCATCGAATCTCTGCATTTTCTTGGCGGGGCTGTATGGGCCACCAATTATGGAGTCAAATCCGGAAGATCTCGGATAGGGGGTCCTGAACTAAGGGCCTTGACATGATGGTAATAAGGGCACATGTTTTTTTTACCCAAGTTTGGGCTCTACTCAGAGATAAAACCTTACGTCCTGCTTGTTCTTTATTGCTTTTTGGGTGGGGTACAAAGTATACATGATCTACCTGCAACATTGTTGTGTGTCGTCGTCTACGAGCCCTACCCCTCGATTTATACAGGTAGGAGGGGGTCTAGGGTTACGTCCTAGTTGGTTATGTACAAAGAGAATGTGTTGTAGACAACTTCTAATATCTTGGAGTATATGACAAGTCTTCGAAAGCTTTCCTTATATGTGCCATGGGCTGCCCTAATATGGCCCACTGGTGAACTGTCATGCGGTCTTCGGGCCGACCCGCCTAATCGGAAGATGACGTGGTGAGAGACCGCCCATCTGAAGCACCGTCATACGATTTTTACTGGTAGTTTGCTGTAATTGATTGGCCGATTACTAATATTTACCAAAATTAATACAGAATGCACTTGTTGAAGAAAATCAATCTTCCTCTCGGTGTTGTGTTACCAGTTATAACCATCAAATAATGCCATTGTTGTGGAAGCAAACAGATAGCGACTCCGTACCAAAATTAATATACACTGACATGAACTATCGATCCGTGACCGTACCTGATTCAAGAAAAGTTTAGGGTTCCTCTGCCTCCCGCTCCCGCCGCCGGTCCGCATCGTCTCCGGTGGCCTTAGGGTCATGGTGGCACGGTGAATCTCGGCCCTTGTCGATGGGACGGCTCTGTTTTCAGTTGTTCCTTCCTATTTTGTTAGGGTTTGTGTCATGCTCAGAAAGACGAGACGGCGGTGGCTCTCTGAAGATGGAATAAGGTTCTCCCCATCTAGCCCTCACCCCGATGGTGTGTCTAGCATCATCGGCGGGCGTGTGGAGACATGTCTCTGGCGGATCCGTCGTTGGTGAATTTGCTCGGATCTGGTCGTAGTTCGTCTACGTTCATGTGTTCTCAGGTTGGATCATTTCGATCTACGCTATTCTTCATCAGCGGCGGTTGATGTTCTGCTAAGTTGCTCCTATGGGGTCTTAGCATGACGACTTTCCGACTGTGTGCTACAACAAGTTTTGCCCGGCTCTTGCAAGGGAGGAGCAATGACGACGACGCACCTTCGTCTCGCTTTAGTGCTTGTAGTCGTTGCTAGGTTGACTACGGATCTAGATGCAATTATTATTATTTTTGATGTCCATTGTACTGTCGTGATTGAAAATGAATAGATCGAAAGTTTTCTCGTAAAGAAAAATCTAAAGGGAAACGCTGGCTTTCTGCCGGCTGATAACGCGCATGCATCAGCCGCCTCCCCTGCCAACCACGTGTCTAGGCGGGAGCCCACTGCAACGTCCCTTTTTTCTTGAGTGCACCCGCCACCGCGAAACCAGCCAACACGTTGCTCGTTTTATCTGCTCTTTCTTCCTCGAGCTACACATACGCCCACTGTCGTATGCTACTGACTTGTTTATAATTTTTTAGAATGGAGACACACTGCCATGCCATGTACTAGTAGTCTAGTACTGGCTACTAGTACCTTTTTTGTACGTAAAAAAATAGATACGGTGGTGTGTTCACTGCCATGCCATGTACTACCTTTGGAACAAGTTTCTGCAACAACGGTGTTGTTGCGGAACGACGGCAGTGAACGACGACTGTACCAATGCGCGACGCGACGAGAGATATTATTGCAATTTTTCTTGTTGCAATTTTTGCAACAAGGATCTTGTTACAGAAATTTAGATACGGCGGGAGGTGTATTTGCAATTTTTGCAACAAGGGTCTGGTTGCGGAAAATTAGAAAAGAGGTTTTGCAACAGCTGACATCGGACGGGACGAGAGGTGGTCAACATGGGTCATGTTGCAGAAAATTAGATGTGGCCGAGGTGTTGTTTTAATTTTTGCAACAAGGGTCTTGTTGCAGAAAATTGGACGCAACGGAAGATGTTGTTGTAATTTTTGAAGGATCTTGCTGCAAAAATTAGACACATGGAACATGTTGCAGAAAATTAGACGCGTGAAAAATGTTGTTGCAGAAAATTAGACGCGGCGGGAGATGTTGTTGCAATTTTTCTAAAGGTCTTGTTGCAGAAAACTAAAGAAGAAGAGGTTTTGCAACATGAGTCCTGTTGCAGAAAATTATAGAAGATGAGGTTTCACAACAAAGGTCTTGTTGTAGGAAATCAGAGAAGGCCAGATCTTGCGACAAGAGCATTGTTACAAGAATTGTTCTTGTTGCGAAACCGCGCGGGCGCATCTGTCAGGGGCCGGGGGGCAAGAGTGCTATTATTTCTGCAACAGAGCGGTTGTTGCGGAAAATAACTAGTACATGCGGGGCACGGGTAGTAGATCCAACGGCTATCAGATCGGGCATCCAACGACCATTTGGGCGACGAATAAAATTAGAAAATCGGCCGGCGGACGCGTAGCGTCGCCTAAATCTAAAACACTGCAAATAATAGAGGGGGGCGTAACCGCGTAAATGAACAGGAGATATATATATTTTTAGGTGAAAATGAACAGGCCTTGATTCTCAGGTCGTGGCCACAAAGGGGAGGCGTCGACCCCCCTCAGAAAAAAAAGGCATCGTCGGCTCTTCAGTCTTCACTCTCCATCGACCAGCCTCTATCCAGACCCTGAATCCATGGAAACCTCCACGCAGAACGTGAGAAGCGGCGTGAGTAATGGAGGGCGAGGCGCCGGCGTGCGTGTCCAAGGTGCTCGACGAGGACAACCTCCTCCGAGAGATCATCGTCCGCGTCGGCTTCCCCACCAGCCTCGTCCGCGCCGCCGGCGTCTGCACGCGCTGGCTCAGCCACGCCTCCGACCGCGCGCTCCTCCGCCGTTTCCGCGAGCTCCACCCGCCCAGGCTCCTCGGCTTCTACCTCGCGAACAGGGAGCGTCCGGGCGGCGCGCGCTTCTTCCCGGCGCTGCCTCTGCCCCCGGATCTCGCCGCCGTCGTCCGCCGCGCAAGCTTCAGCCTGGACACCGCACGCCGCTCCGCAGGCTTCAGCCCCGACACCCACTCGGACGGGCGGACCGACGTGGTGGGCTGCTGGAACGGCAGCGTCCTCACCAGCTCGCAGGGGCAGAATTACGCGCACGGTCGATCTGAAATCATATTTGAAGTGCACAGCCCGCTATGCTCCGGCTCCGAGAAAGGTGCGGCCATCATCCCAGCACTACACCTCAAAGTCCAGGATGGAATCTGCAGGCTTATTAGACAACTCTTCTTCAGAGAAGAAGGGGATGGATTGTCCTACTTTTTTGTCACGGTGGAGTGTACCAGGTATCATGAAGATTCTCAAGTGCATGTGTATATGCTGCAAAATGGTGATGATGCCTGGCGCCTGCATCTCACCTTGGCCTCCGACCTCCTCCTGTATCCACGCAAAAGCCCCAAAGGCGTGCTCGTTGACAACAGAATCTATTTGCCGACCGACAATGAAATTGTTGTCCTGGATTTGGTGTCCTCAAGTTTATCGACAATTCAGCTCCCACAAGGGGTGGGTTTTAGTCCGATAGGCACCACCATGTTGTCACGGGCTGATGATTCTTCTGGTGTATATCTCATCCATATCAAGGACCTTCAACTTAGCATCTGGCTCCACAATGGGGACAACTGGTTGCTGGTGGACACCATTTGCTTGTGTGAAATATCTGATAATTTGTTTGACGATGAGCCTACTGATGAGATCCTGATAAACCATGTGGGGGACTATAATGAGTTTGTGTTCTTGGAGATGGGTCGATGTGCACTCTACTTGGATGTCAAACGTAGGACGCTGCGTAAAGTGTATGAGATGACAACAGAGGAGCAACAGTTGGGTGATATCTATCCTCTTATGATGAGCTGGCTTCCCAGTTTCCCTGCGCTCATGGATAGTCCTGCAAGGTTTGCCTTTTGCCCTTTTCGTGATTTATATAGTGTCCTTGTAGAGTTTACGCAATTTTGCAATTCGCGTCATGCATCTCACTGTTTGGTACTATAGTTGTGGGGTGGTGTTACATGTGTGATTGATTCCTTAGGCCTTTTTAACAATACTAGTCACGCAACATTAGAGAATGCTTGTTGTTAGATGGTTTAAAATCACTTCCTTATTAATTTCTTGGCCATCTAACAATACTAGAGGCGACACTAGTGAAAGCTTGCTGTAAGATGATCTGAAATCACCTGTGTACTGAGGAGCATTACAAGGTGTCTACTTGTGGTTAATTGGTCATAGTAGGGGACTGTTGCGTGTGGACGTCAGTGTGTAATGGGCTGGTTGTGAAGGATATTGTGGATAGGTAAGATAAACGAGAGAAGTAGATCTTATGGCTGGATGCATATTTTATTTCCTTTTGAAGTCGCTAAATGATTACTAAATATTTCCTTTAAATATTATACCATGGTGGATCCCTAAGGAAAGGAATCTGCTTGGGTACAAGCTCAGTTGCATTTTATTTCCCTATTACTACTACCACTCGGATGACTATATATATCCAAATCCAACTATCGCCAATATATTGTCATCCTTAGTTGGTTTTAGTGGCTCTATATACTAAAGTATCAGACTGTTGTTATTGTTTGCTGGACATATACTAAAGTATCAGACTACGGCAAACCACTCCATGGAATACTTGCTTTTGTTAAACCTTGTGTTGGCATCAAACATCATGCTTCCAACTTGGTCTTTGCTTTATAGTCTCATAATCAATTTGTAGTGGTGCTAAAATGTGACTTGTTTGTTGTTTTCTCATGGATCTCTCATTCTGTTGTATCATAGTTTTCTGAACTATCCGTGCAAAGTTGCAAATTGGACCTACAAAAGTATGAAACATCATGTATAAGAGGATTAAAAGCTGAAAGATTCCTAGCCTTGGTAATCTGTTATCATGTTGACCACTATGTTTTCTTGCCCAGAAATAGTCATAAGCCCATCAAGCCTGATATGCTAGCTTCCTATTTCTTAAATATAATCGCGGTGTAATTTTTTACACCCTATTTCACAACTTTGAACCTCAAGCTATGTACGAGCTTGATAATACTTTTTTCTTTTGCAATGTTGCCTAGTGGACTATACATTCTTTTACTCGAATACAAGTGGTAGATTTGACACACGTACTCTTCATCTTGTTTATGATTGATTCAGATATACAGTGGAATTTCCTTTTATATGACATTGCTGGTCCAAGATAACATTGGCTACTTTATGTTTATGTGGCATTCCTCCTTCTATAATCAGAGTTTTGGTTTGTTGGAACACAAACTATAAAATGGAAATATGTCAGGCTGGGATATTAAAAGCATTTAACCTCTATTGCTGTAGCTTTTGGAAATAAAAAGTAAAAAACTATATCGCTTTACCAAATTTATCGCCTTCAATTTCTGAACACACTTAACATTAACTGTCATTGAGGTACCACTTGTCTTGTTAGTCCATGGGATATTGTGATGCTTAAAGTGGCAAACCAAATGTATCCTGGTGCTTAATTACCTCCATCTGGATCCTTGCTCTGTTTTCTCTGAAACAGGAATGCCACGTGAAGAACAAGGTTATGAGGAAGCTTTTGGATGGCCTATGACAAGTTCGCCATCAACCAAGAGCGCAGGGTTGCATTTACTCCGTAGCGGTTCTAACTGTGTTCATTTTATGGCCGTCAACGAAGAGCACAGTGCTGCATTTCCTCCGTAGCAGTTCCTACTGTGTTCATTTCCTGCATCGCCTGGTCTGTTTGTGTTGTTGGTGCTCCTCGTGGCATTCGGGGAGGTGTCTTCTTTTGTATGTTGAGCAGCTGATTACAGTAGTACTTGTGTTCCAGCCTTGTGTAGCTCTGCTGCTTGCAACTTCTGGCATCTGCAGAAATTGTGTAGTTCTACTGCTATAAAAATCTTTCGGGCAAGTGGCAGTCTTCTTTTGTATGTTGAGCAGCTGGCATCTGGTTAAGTGTCTTATTTTACACCATTGCAGAATTGGTTTCTGTTATCGATGTGTAGCTAACTCTGTTGTATTACTGGAAGACAAACATGTTGGTGGGGGATCTTACAGTCCATAGTATTACAGATTATATATCGTTATGAACTACTCCCCCCGTCCCATAATATAAGAGCGTTTTTGACACTAAAACGCTCTTATCTTTTTCTTTTTTTGAACAGAGAAAGGCACCAACAGGTGCCAATATATTCAGCTCAAATTCAGTGTACATCATGATTACAGAAACTTCTTGCAAGAAAGAGAGAATTAGACTGCAGAATCTGAGAAAGAAGAGCTGAATAGAAGTCGGAGAAGACAGGAAGGGAGCAGAATCCCTTCTGATGAACCACATGACTAAACATAAGAAGGCAGCCTAAGGAAGAAGATGACATGAACTGCCCTTCTGCTACTCAAAGAGCATGGATACACCATGGAAACAGCACCAAGAGCAACTGGACCAACAACTTCAGAGAGAAATTGGGCTCCAATAGCTTGCATCAAGTTCTGAAGAAGAAAGAGAACTTCGAACATAGAGATAGTAGTCCAGCCGAGCTCCAAAATCATTGGCTTAGCCTGCAGATTCACCAACAAGTCTCCTTGCACCTGAAGAAGTCCATCCTTGCAACTGAAATAGTACAAGAACAAATGAAGCAGAGTATCTTGAACAGAGAAGAAATAGACAACCAAGAAGCAAAGAGCTAGTAACAGTGCACTATGTGAATCTTAATAGCAGGAATTTGGAAATTAGAAAGAAGGGATGCAACATTGCAGGAATTAGAAGAGTGATTACGAGCAAAGCAACAAATCCGAGTATCTCTATTCGCTGTGAAAACCTGGTGAGCAAGGTTATGGGCAACTCCATTAACTTCTCTAGCAATATGAAACACTTTAGGATTAAGAGCTACAAAATGGCAAGATCATTTCTAATATTCCAAGGAATAGAGGGATCTAAGGTGTTGGCCAAAGTAGCACATTTAGTAATATTGAGCTGAGAGGCTATATTAGCAGCAGAAGCAAGAGCAATAGATTCAGCCTGCAAAGGAGTGGATGTAGAGGAAGCGGAGGCCTGAATTTGAATATTAATTTCTCCCTGCTCCGAGGGAAGAGAAATATAGATGCCAACACCTGTAGCCACATCACCTGGAGGAAGGCCAGAAACTTTTTTTGTCCTGAAAGTTGCATCAGAGTAAATTTTTGGCCCAACAACTAAAAGATCAGACCTGATAGAATTACCTGGCAAGGGGAGCTGATTGCTAGCAGGAATGTGTTGAACCTATTGATTCTTGGTAGAAAGGCCAGAAAGAACATCATGAGGCTCCAAATTCAAAGCACCAGCAGCAATGCTAACTTGATAAGGAAGAGCTTTGTTTCTATCAAAATAAAAATCATTTCTTGCTTTCTAAAGACACCACAGAAAATTTAGGATATTCGGGATGGAGTCGTGTGGGTGATTCATTTGAATGAAAGCAATAAGCACTGAATGCGTTGTAGTATGGCCTTGGGTTAAAACATCAGCTTTGAGAAACCAGGGAGAAGAAAACCAGGCCGCACGAGCAAAATGACAAAGGAAAAATAGATGAAATTCATCCTTCGGTTGACCACATCGACAACACATTTGAGAAATATGAATCGAGAAACGAGCAGCTCGCATACCCGTAGGCAAAGCTTTTCTTAAAAGTCTCCATGCAAAAGTTTGCACCCTAGGAAGCATATTCTTTTGTTTTCAAAATATTGTAAGCATATTTTTCAAATCCAAAGAAACAACAGTAGGGGCATGTCTAGGATTAGCATGAATATCTTGTAAACACAATTTTTTTTGAGGGGAACATCGCTGCCAATTTATTAACTAAGTGGCCTCAGCCACAACAATGTCAAGAATACAAGGAGGAGGAAACGAAAACCAGGTCTTGCACAACTTATTAAGGTAGACATCCCTAGCTAGATTATGTGCCGCGCGATTCGCGGAACGCCTAGCCCAATGCACATGAAAATCATCATGAGAGTTAAGAAGCTCCTTAATCTCTTCTATGAGGGGGCCGTACCGGGATCTAGCTAGCTCCGTCGAAGATAACATTTGTTTGACTCCCAGATTGTCTGTCTCCAGGACAATCCTCTGAGCGCCCACCTCAATCGCCAGCTGGACACCACGCCGACAAGCCAACAGCTCTGCATGTTCTGGATCCGTCACAATTTATAAGTATATTTGGAGGAACAACTACCATTTGGAGTAAGATCCCAACACAACAAATCTGGAATTTCATCATCAACAATATCAATATGAACAATAATGGAAGCCAAAGGTTGTTGAAAAAGCGAGAAGATGAGAGTTTGATTCCAAATCCCTTGACCTGGAAGGCAAAGATCCTTAACCAAGGCCGGGTACACAAAACCAGCATGTTGAGGAATGAGATGCTCATGAATGGAACTCCAATTATTGCACCAAGGAGTGCTCCAAATAGAAATGTTACCTTGCGTTATTTGATAGAATGAGTGAGTTTTAAGCTTCGGTAACATTTTAAGAATGGAAGCAAATGCGCAAAAAATATAGGAAAAGATGGAAATAAAAAGTAGCCACAAAAGTATCCAAAAAAATGATGTTTTTTTGTTTTTTGTTTTATTACTCCCTAGAAGTTGGAACTTTTTTTTGACCAGAATACAACCATGGAGTTACATAATGTTAGCCTCAAACTAACCAATTAGCCAATTACTCAGTCATTATTTTTTATGAATTCTTTATGTTAGATGGTGTTTACTGAGTAAGAAATTCTTCACCGCACCTTGGAGCCTTCATAAAGGAAAAAAAAAGGTGAACCCAATTCTTATGTGCTAGGCTATTATCTCTTATTTGTCTCTTTAAAGGCTTCTTTCGTTCTTTCCCCTTTGCATCATCAGGTTAGTATTTCCTCTTTTTGATTGTGCATTTTGTAAGCTCATCGACGATCCAAAGCCATTGACACCGTTTAAGATGCATTTTGTAAGCTCATCGACGATCCAAAGCCATTGACACCGTTTAAGTATAATACTCCCTCCGTCCG